ATTTAAAGTGGACCCTTGACTTACGAACTTGATCGGTTCCTGAGGGCTGATTGATTATAACTAAGTCAGTACGGCTGAGATCTGGACATTTACCTGGGTACACACTACAGATAACAAGAGGTAGATAAATCTTCTGTTAACCCCATTAACACAGTTGTTTGTATGTCCAGATGAGGCCAGTCCAGGTGAGGGTCCACTGTAATCTGACTGCTTCCTCTCACAAAGCCCACTCTCTTTCCGGACAGCATAGCAGCCCTGGCCTCCACCACTCCCACTCACCCCGCGACTCACTTTGCAAGTGCTGCCGTCATCCCTGGCCTCCACTCACATTCTGCCCCACACCTGCACCTACAGGCTTCCGCTCTAAGACAGCAGAAGGTTGTCCCCTTCTGTCACAGTGCCACTCCTGCCTCCACCACTGTGGCTTGAGGTTTTTATTTCTTTATTTTTGGCATAAAGTAAAATTGTGCCACTCCCCCCACATACGAGTCTGTGTGCTTCTAGTTACATCCCCATCCAATCCAGTCTTTCCACACTGTGGCCAAAGAAACCAGTTTAAAATATAAATCTGCTTTTAGAGATTTCCTGTTAAAACTCTTCCATGCTAAGAACAATAAGAGATTTGGGGGAGGGGAACTTCCGTGGGTTCCCTAGAGTGTGGAGTCCTGGAGTTGGCTTCCCTCGTGTGCTGGCCTCTCTTTCTCCCCTGTAACTTTCTCCCATAGCATTCCACCCCACACTCTCTCCTCCTGACTGCGGCGCCTCTGAGCCCTCTGCTGTCCTCCCAAATCCCAAATTCCACGATGTCCCCACATCTCAATGCACTCTCCTCCCTTGGCTTCCAAATTCTTGCTACCCTTCCCTTGTTCTTCCTTCAGCTTTCGGTTTAGCTGGTGCCTCCGTAGTCCTTACCATTCTGTGGTTAGCTGCTGTAGCTCTTTGGTTCATGTGAATATATTTTCAGCACCCAGCACATATCCAGGCGCACAGCAGGCATCCAGTCACTCACTGTCTGGCACACAGTGCATTAACAGATGGAATTGTGAACTGCGTCCACCAAAAGGCAGCAGGGGAACCAGTAAGGTCGACACTTTACAACAGAACTTGAAAATGATTTTGGCAGCTGTGATTACTATAAACCCCCTACTGCCTGCCTAAGTGCAAACTTTCTTTGTAAGTGGAGGCTCTGCTGCTGTCTACAAGAAAATAGTACCTGATCTTCAAGTTTCATTTTGAAGTCAGTTATTTTAACTTTCTTACATCAATTCATCCTGCCCCACAGTTGAGTCACACTGCCAATGGAATCATTTTACAAAGACCTATATTTTCTGGAAATATTGGTCACCATTGTGTTTAAAATGCACTGAAATTCCCTTCCCAAATAATGTGTCAAAAGAGCTAAAACTGAGTTTCTTGACTAGAATATAATGATGAAATTAATTTGTTAAAAATCCCACTGTTCTAAGATTTCAAAACATTAACGCATTCATTGGATCCACATTTGTACACCTATTGTAAAATTAGCACTGTACTAAGCACTGGCAATATAGAAAGCCTTTAAAAATTAATTCTATTTTGAGTCAAGGATTGGAGCATGTAGCAGATTCATAATGTTGGGAAGCCAGCACTAGGAAAGTTTTTGCATATTTATATGCGTACACCAAGAGAAATAAGACCAATTTTTTCCAAAATAGAGCTTTACAAAGAAAAGGATATGAAACTGAATTCCTGAAAGTGTAAGTCAGAGTTTATTAGGAGAGAGGAGAAAAAACGACATGTGAAAAGGCCTGGTAAGCACCGTGGGCATAGGAGGTTCGGCAAGGGCAAGTACGTAAGCTGAAAAGTGGCCAAGGCAAGTGGTACAACAGAAGGCTGGGAATGGGCCCTGGACACTACAGTGTTACTGACCCAGCTTAGCCAAAGACCAATCCAGGGGGTTCTGTCAAAAGAAGAGAATTTGCAGCCAAAAATACCTTCCAAGATTGCCGGTCATTAGTCCCTGAGATATTTGATTTTCTTTCAGATCTAAGTTTTTTAATCTGTTGACTGAGTCTCAGCACATTCCTCTAAGTATGAAATCTGCCTTTATTTTATTTATATAAAAGAATTATTTTCTTAGGTGTGCAGTAGCCTTGGCAGAGATGTATTTTCTGGTCATCTCTGTTTCTCATCATATGCTGATGCTGATAGCAAATGAAGAATTGCTCTTTTTCTGGGCTTGCAGCCCTCTCTGAGCCATCACCCGTAAACTTAGTCCTCCTAAGTGGCTTCTAATGTCACCTGCTCTGACCACGCTCAGGCTTCCTGGGTGCTGCTCCCAATCTTCTGATCATAGCTGTTTTGCAGAAAATTAGCTTCAGCCTTAACATGATGACATAGAAAAGCAATTCCAAAACTTTCAGTCCAGGGGCCAATTCATACTCTTAAAAATTATTCAGAATCCTGAAGAGTTTTTATTTCTGTGTAGCTGTCTGTATTTCACATATTAGCAATCTAAATTATAAACTAATTTATTAATTCATATCAAGTGACAAGAAAACCATTACAGGGGCTAGGGTGTAGTTTAGTGACAAAGTTTATCCCTAGCATGCAGGAGAACCCTGAGTTTGACCCTAGCACCGAAGGGAAAAAAGAAGAAACCACTGTAAGTAACCTGTCAATTTTAACAAAAAATATAAAATTTTACATAAAAGTAATTTCAAAAATTGATTACGTTTTCCAAACAAGTAACTGTAAGAAAAAAGGCATTATTTTACCTTTTTTTCCACATCCCTAATATATGACTTAGAAGAAAATGGCTATGTCTCTCACATCTCTTGTGAGGGACACAGGGGCCTTCCCAGACTGCTGGCATTAGAGGCCTGTGCCCCTAGCTTTACATCTATTTCTGAATCAGTGGAGGCACCGTAGGTCACGTGGGGTCTGAAAAGTATGGGAGAATGAGAGTGAAAAGGCTAACAGTGTCTTCATATTGTGAAAACAGTTTTAACCCCTCAGCTCTTTTGAGCAGGTCTCAGGGACTCCTAGAGGTTCCCAAACCACATCTGATATCCTCTGATTTAAAAGCCCTAAAATACTATATTGAGAGGTGGTAATATATCAAAGTTTATGAAAGATTAATGAAAGCAGGCAGAATGCTACAACAGAAGCCAGTGTATGTGTGTTTATTGAGACTGACACTGAGATGGACACTGTTTTTTTTTTGTCGTTTGTTTGTTGGGGGGTGGGTACCGGGGTTCAAACTCACTTGCGAGGCAGGTGGCGGAACCACTGAGCCAAATCTCTGGCTCTGGACACTGTTAATAGAATGGAGAATTAAAGAAACTGTGACCCACTTAGGTTTTCATTAAAATAAATTTTGATCAGTTTTTAAACATTCAAAATCTCTTCTCAAAGAAAAGCAAAGTCTAATTTTATCTTTTCATTTGTTTTTTTTGTTTGTTTGTTTTCAGTACTGGGGATTGAACCCAGGGCCATCGCACTAAGCTACAGCCCTGGCCCTTTTTATTTTATATTTGAGACAGGATCTTGCTAAATCAACCAGGGCTGAGCTCCAGTTTTCAATTCTTCTGCCTTATCCTCCCCGAGTGCTGTGATTATCAGCTACCATGCCCATCTTAGCTTCACCACACACACACACACACACACACACACACACACACACACACACTTTAACCAGAAATTAGAATGTTAAACAGAAAATGAACCTCTGATTAGACAACTGAAGAAAACAGGACAGACTCGTGGGGTTCATGCTGTCTAGCTCTGTGATGTGGAGCTAGTCAGTCTTTCTAGTCTCTGTGGCTTGGTCTCTAAAAGGGGCGACTTTCCTTGGACATGTGGATAATTTGAGATGTGAAGTGTGAATGTTGACTTCCAAAGCATTCCACACACACTATTTATGATGATGACAATATTGTTATGGTTGTAAGGCTGCCTGAGGGACATACAAACCTTCCCTTCTGGGTAAACAGAGAATGCCTCATTTGTGAATCCCAAAGTCCTTCTGCAATAAAGTTCTCACAAGCTGCAAATGAGAAGGCCCCAGATGAGCGGTGCCGTCTGTGCTCTGAGATCCCCACAGCTAAACACAGTTATTTTAATGCATTTGCTGTCAGCTTACCCTTTTATGCTAACCTCCAAAGGAGAAGAGACACTGCCAAAAACAAATTTAAGGAAAGCATATATGAGCCTCAACTTCCCTCTCCCCTTCCAGTTTCCTCCAAAAGAATTCCTTAACAGTATTAAACCATGAAGAATTATGAAGAGGGAATCTAAGTGTAGGTATGATTGGGCTGCAGCTTAAGAGGCAAACTTTATACCTAATCTGAAGTCAGAGTCTTAGCCAGCACAGTAGGATGCCAGAGTACATTTTCATGCTTTCAGGTTCCCAGCACACTTACAAAAGTGGGCAAATGCCATTCGGATAAAGATGGGGAGTGAATTATACATCTGAGAGAACCGTGACCCAAAAAAGATACTGAGTAGGAAATTTCAGTAGAAATTCATGGAAAAAGAAATGCAAGCAGAAGTACCTTAGCTAAATGAGGCAACATGAGTATAAGATTAAACATTGGCATGTGTAGAAATTCCCAGTCTCGACTTAATAAAACTGGTGTCATGAGAATTCTCTGTACTTCACCATCTGCATTTACCAGTTCACCCAGACGCTCCAGCACTAGAAAAACATTGTTTGGAGGGGGAAAATAATTCTTTAACAACAACAAAAAAAAACTTGTAACATTCACCTCGAGACTTTATTTCAAATTCTGGGAACTTCAACTTTCATTTATTCTAGGATATTTTAAAGTCATGTCATTTTGGACAAATAACACAGCTAGAACACTGTTTCATCTCCAGTGTATATGTGCATGGTTTCTAAATATAAAGGCTTTTTCCTTCTACTCGAATAAGATGTCAAATAATATATATTAATTTTAAAATATGCATCTGATTTTATAAGTATTTTCGTCTGTCTCTCCCTTTTCCTTTCTGTCTAGCTTTGAAAGCTTCACCTTCTAAAAAATGGTACAGTTCCATCGCTGCCTTAAAGGCAACTTCACAGGAGATTGTGTCCTCGGTTAGTCAGGAATGGAAGGACGAGAGGCGTGATTTGCTGACTGAAGGACAGAGTTTTAGCAGCCTTGATGAAGAAGGTAAAGATAAGAAACTTCAGGAAGGAAGAGAAATGCACGGTTTACTTATACAACGAATGTAAATTCACAGTAGAGAAATTAGACAATGCTGCTCTGAAGGATAGTAGTCTATTAAATTTTTTAAGGCTACATATAGTATGCTATAATTCATGTAAATTTTTCTCACCAGGAATCGAGCTCAAGACCTTGCTCTTGCCAGGCAGGCGCAGTGCCGCCCAGCTACATCCCTGGCTCCAATTCATGTAAATTTTAAATACCGTGTAAATAATACAATTTATGGTTGATGGTAAAAATAATTACATAATACTGAAATATTCCAAAAAGTCTGTAATCCTACAAAATACTACCATTTTTAACTTCTAGCCTTATTCTGTGTGCATATATGTACACACATAGATGCAACAAGTTGCTTCTTCAATTATTTAGATCTTCTTTAATGAATTTAAATAAAATTTCATAATATTCTTCTTGCATTAAATGAATACTATATATCTCTTTTGTTAGATTTATTCCTTGAACAGATGCAGAGATTGATTCATGTATAATTTTTTAAAAATAGTATCTTATCTTTAAGAACTGGATATTCTGGCTGTTTGTTGCTACTGCGTAGGCCCCATAACCCTTTTCTTCATGCTCTTTTTTTTTTGCTGGCCAGGACTTCTGATGAACGAGAATGGTGACTGTGTACAGCTTTGCCTTGCCCTGATTTTTGTTCCCACATTGTTTATTGGCACATTAAAGCAAACAGTACAGTTACATTCATCATTGGGATCTTGTACCTTTACATGATATGTCTTGGTTCTTGTTTTATCCCCATCCCCCTGCCCTCCCTTCACCCCCTTCACCCTTCCCTATTTACAAAGAATTTGTTTCCATTTTTTCCTTTTTTCACATTTTTTTCTTTTCCCTTCTTTCCTTTCCCCTCCCCTTCCCACTTCCCCTTTAGTCATTTTCTTCCTATTTCACACTCTCAGTTATACCATTTGAATCTTATTTACACTTTTAGTTTTTCACACCAGAAAAACTTATTCAGTATTTACTGAAGTGTGTCCTATTTATTTCATTTAAGAGTATAGCCTCAATGTGCATTCATTTAGCTGTAAACGTTTCTAGCTTCTCATTCTTTATGGCTGAGTACTACTCCGTTTTGTAGAAAAACCACATCTTCTTTATCCTGTCTCCAGTTGATGGGCATTTGGGTTGTCTCCAAGTTTTAGCTATTATGAACTGTGCTGCTGTAAACATGGGTACACATATATTACTGTGGTATGATTCTTCTAATTCTTTTGGAAAGATACCCAACAGAGGGATGGCTGGGTCAAATGGAACCTCTAATCCTAGTTCTTTGAGATATTTCCGTATTGATTTCCACAATTCCCTGATTTTAAAGGTAGTGCTGCTAATGTTTCACATTGCAAAAGAAGTTTGCTGTAGTTAGTACCCATAATCAGGTCAAAGAAGCTCCCTTTTTACTGCTAGTTTGCTAAAATTTTGTATCAAGAATGAATACTGAATCTTTTCAGTGCTTTTCTCTAATTACTGAGTTGATCATTTGGTTTTTCTCTTCCATTCCAATAAGGAGAAGCATCACTTCAGGTTTTTCTATCAGTATATTCTTTGGAGAATCCCAACGTTTCCTTAAAAAATGTCTTCTACTTCATATAGAAGACAAGATATCTTGTAAGGGTTTCCTTTTTCTTCTGAGTCCTTTGTATAGGGTGTTCTTTCTATCCACTTCTGCAGCATTTATCCACAAGAGCTATGTTGGGTTTCTTTCTTTCTTATGTTCCTATAAACCAACTTGTATCCAGAGTTAATGATTTCAACAGAAGTGTTAATGAGCTGCCCTCGGTCCTTTCTGTACTGGAGCTCCGATTCCTGAGAGATCTCTACCCACATCCCCTCATCGACTCTGCCTTGGCTTCTCCCCCACCATACTGACCTCGTTTTCGTAGCACACACATTAAAATTACTGGCATCTAGGAAATAGAAGAAAATGACAGTCTGGGAAGTAGGACAAACTTACTTTTTTTTTAAGTTAAAAAAAATTATCATCCAGCAGATAATCCCCATTATCAAACACTTACCACCTTCATCTTCCCACTTTCAGTCTTTTATAAGCCCTTTGTTTTTTCTGTCCTCTTTTGCCTTTTGTTTTATGAAGTTGGAGAAATGCTGAGTTTCCTGAGGACAAGCTTCTCAGGTCATTCATAGCCTCAGCATCTAGACAGTGCCCAGTGATGGCAGTGGCTTCGGGCACAGAACAAGGGACTCACTGAGTGAATGGTTGTTTCTCTCTGGTTCTGAGTCCCACCTTCCAGGAGCAGTTTCTTCTGCAAGTTCACTCCATATCCCCATTCTTTTTAACTTTGCTGCCAGGGGCTGGCCCACCTCTTCCCCGTCCTGGCGTGGGCAGCAGTGTGGCCCAGCAGGGAGGATGGAGAGCACGTCTGAGTCAGGGGACAGACTTACTTCTAAACTACATTACTGAAGCTTTTGAATAGTGTGCTCACAATGACCTCTGAAGTTCAGGTGATGAGGCCCGTTGTTAATCAAGGAAAGGAAATGTGAATAAACATACTGCATAGAATCTGTGTACCTGGAAACATGGGAGCAAGTACCCATACTGTACTCTTTACATGACTTGTTGGGCCATTGCTTTAAGTTATGAGACATTATATGTAGGAAGGCCTTAGAAGGTCATAAAGCATATTCTTTGAGACTATGACATCTTATTATCAAATGAGTTTCTCTGCACAGTTTCTCATGTACAGGGTTTGGCCTCTTTCTCATGCCCCATGCTTGGGAACTTCCCCTTACACAGTGCATCAAGTTATGGGCAAATTTCCCACAAGCTTTAAACCATTTATTTTTGTTTTTTTGCATCCTTGCTATGTCTGTATTGTGTTCCTTCTCTACTGTCATGTAACAAATTACCGCAAAAACATCAGCTTAAAGCAGTACCCACTTAATAGCTGGTAGTTCTGTAAATCAGGAGATTGGCTACAGCTCACCTAGATTGTCTGCTAAGGATCTCAAATGCAGAAATCAGGGACCAGCTGGACTGAGTTCTTATCTGGAGCTGCTATAAATGAATCCCCTTTCTGAGTGATCTGTGTTGTTGGCAAAATTCAATTCCTTGCTGTTGTTAGGTGGGATCCCCTTTTCTTTTTTCTGTGACAGCTGAGAACCATACTCAGCCTCTAAGGATCACTACATTCCTTGCTGTGCAACATCCACGCACTGTCTGCAAACAAAGAATTCCTTGCACATCAGTCCGCTCAACATTTCCACTCTCGGACTGCCTGTCTCTGATTTAAGGGCTCATGTAATTAGGTCAGGCCCCCTGGGTTCTCTCTCCTTTGACTAATTCAGAGTTACCAGTTCAAAGCAACCTGGGTTTCGGATCTGCAGAATCCCTTTTGCCAGGTCACACAGGCTCATCAGAGAAGTGACATCTCATTGTATTCATGGGAACCACCCATACTCGAAGATCAGACAGTGATGTGGGGCACTGGGCATCATCTTAGAATTCTACCTACCTCATTGATTTCCAAAAAAAAAAAAAAAAAAAGCAGGAGAGTGGAGAAACAGTTCCTTGCTTCAAAGAGCCATTCCTCAGGATTAGGGGGCTCCGCTACCCAGTTTTTAGACAATGTGTGACTTGGGACTCAGTCACTGAATGCCCAGTGTTTTTTCACATCGGTCACTCATCATGACTGGGTTATGAAATAAAGCAGGGCATGCCCAAGACCTTAGTTTTTCTGAAGTCAACTTCTGTCTGCCTTCTAATTAGTTGCAGTTCAGTGGACTCTGATATCAGATTATTTTTCAGACCCAAGTTTCAATATCTTTGGGGAGTTTCATATTTGTCTTTGTATTTAAGTAGAAGTCAACATTTTTATTCAAGCTTATTGGCCAGATATCATGTTAAATTGAAGCCTCTCTTGTGTTTGAATATGACCTTTGGTTATTCGTGGTTTCATATGGTCAGCATCCCAATGCATTATAGGTGTTCTTTATTTTGACCTGAATTGGATGCAGAACTCCCCCATCCGTAACTTTCAGTGTGTTGTCCGGACTCCTAGAGTAAAGTTGTTCTTCCTGACTCCATTTTCCCTCCATCCCTCTCTCTACTGCACCACATAAACTCCTTCAGAACCAAGATCCTGGTGCCTGACTAGCATGTAGAGGCACTGGGTTCGATTCCCATTAGAAAGAAAGAAAAAACTCAAAACCTGACACTCCTCTGTGAAAGTGCATATTTGGTTCAGTTTCCATTTCCATACTGAAAATATGTAGTTTTGAATATCCCATGATGAGCAGGAAGTGCCAGGAACGCCTAAGGATTATATTGCATTTATTATCATCTGTTTGGATTCAGTATGGGGAAAAAGTGAAAAAGAATCCACATGAACTCCAGCAAAGTGGGCATGACCATGGTGAGCCTAGAACATTCTTCTTTCTTAAAAAGAAAGGCCTCTTGTATCAGTGTTTCATGGGCTCCTAGATTTTTTTAAAAGAAACAATTTTCTCACTTTTAATAATGCACACTTGCTGTTAACGTATAATGTCAAGAAGAGCGTGGATCATGCTCAGAAGTATGTGTGGGCTCAAACAGTGGACTCTTGGCCTGTTGAAGTGTTTCACAGCCCTTGAAAAGTCTTTTTGGATCCAAACTGCGAATCATAGGCCTGTGCATTTCATAGGGAGACCAAAGCAGGTTCTCTCTGTTTACACATCTGCCAATCATCCTTTTAATCTCAGTCAAATTATCTCCTTAATCTCCTTGGATTTTGTAATGTCATCTTTTTGAAATAGCAGATCACTTTATAAGATTTATAAAAGAACATTCCTAATGTTATTTCCATAAGCCATTTTCCAAATTAATGCAATTTCCTTTCTGTTTAACCTGTTTGCAAGCAGCTCTTTTACATTTCTTTGTAGTTCAGATGAGCACAGTTAATTTGTAATTTCATTTGCAGCTCGATATGTAAAATGAATACTTTTGACTCACTGAAATTATTGTAGCTACTAAAGCAGCATGTATTACTAAGATGCATAAGCATGTATCGCTTTTATTCCCTAGCTCTGGGATCCCGACACAGGCCGGACCTGGTACCTAGTACTCCATCACTGTTTGAAGCTGCTTCCTTGGCAACCACTATTTCATCCTCTTCCTTATATGTCAGTGAACAATGCCCACAAGACAGGACAACGCTTTATTCAAACAGGTAACCCTTAGCAAGCACAATTTCCCAGCCAGACTGTTAACACATCAACAGCAGACCTAAAGCAGTGTCTCCACCTGTCTCTGACAACCAGGATGTGCCCAATCCCTGCCTCAAAAGTAAGAGAAAAGAGACATGCTTGATTTGCACTGCGGTGAAGTGCATTTATGGGGCATCCCTTCTTTACAGGTATTCATTTTGTGATGTAGAAATTATACATTTGGATCTGTGGGAGAAGACAAATCTTTCACTCCTTTCCTCTAAGTAATTTCTTGATGAATTTTTTAAGCAAGCTGTCTTGGTAAATGTTACAAAAATAGTTACAAAGATGTTTACAGATTCTGTTTTGTATGTGTGCCCTTACTGATTGTAGTAAGCAAAATAATGGCCTCCACAGACAGTTGTCCATGTCCTAATTTCTAAATTTGTGAATATATTACCATATGTAGCTAAAAAAACTTTGCAGATATGGTTAAGAATCCTGGAGCTAACAGTATAGCTCAGGGGTAAAGTATATACTTAGCATTCATGAGGCCCTGGGTTCAATCACTCACACCAAAAAAAATAAAAAATAAAAAATAAATATGGCCTCCACAGACAGTTGTCCATGTCCTAATTTCTAAATTTGTGAATATATTACCATATGTAGCTAAAAAAACTTTGCAGATATGGTTAAGAATCCTGGAGCTAACAGTATAGCTCAGGGGTAAAGTATATACTTAGCATTCATGAGGCCCTGGGTTCAATCACTCACACCAAAAAAAATAAAAAATAAAAAATAAATATATATATATATATATATATCTGAAAACCAGCCCCAGTAGTATGCACCTATAGTCCTAGCTACTCAGGGGACTCAGACAGGAAAATCATTGGAGCTCAGGAGTTCAAAGCCAGCCCTGCAGCCCCCCAAGAAGAATCCTGAGATAGAGAAATAGTATATTGAATTGTCCAAAGAAGCCCCCCAAAATCATAAAAGTCTTTATAAAAGGAAGACGAGAATCAGAATCAAGAAGATGTGACATCAGAAGTAGAGGTGAGAGAGAAGAGGGATTTGAAGATGCTGTACCACTGGCATTACTGATGGAGGAAGGGACCACAAACCAAGGAATGCAGGTGGAGTTTAGAAGCTGAACAGGGCAAGAAAATAGAATCTCCCCTAGAGCATTCACAAATGAACGCGGCCTTGCCAACAACTTGAATTGTAGTACTTCTCACCTGTAAAGTGACTCTCAAATATTTAATGTGCATTTTGGCACTGGAATGGGTTACTAAAATTTCTTAGATAAGAAGGTAATTTTCCATTTGGCATTTTTTTTCTTTTTAAATAAGGTATTCTTGCATATGAGTTCTGGTGATAGAAAGTATCATTTTTACAGAGATCACAACTTTATGAAATTCACTTGTTCTATTTTTGTATGTACAGTTTTATAACTACAATTCTAGAAAAGAGAATAGAGATAATTATTATTTGTTAAATGTTAAATGAATTTTTCTTGAAATCTAGCTCTCAAACATCAAGATGAAGCTGACTGTGCTGGCTGAGACCTGTAATCCCAGCATTCTGGGAGGCTAAGGCCAGAAGAATGCATGTTTGAAGCTAACCTAGGCAACTTATCAAAACCCTGTCTCAAAATAAAAAAATAAAACAGCAGTCAAGGCTGGGAATGTAGCTCTATACAAAAGAGCTGGGTTCAGTGGCTGATAGTGAAAAAACAATCAAGATCAAATTTATGGCCCAGGGCTATCATTTGTTATAAGAGTGTTTACCTAGCATGTGTAAGACCCTGGGTTTCATCTCCAACACTGACCCCCCCAAAAAATATGCAAGGAAAGTATTTCTCATACTGTAAGTGATTTTTCACTTTTACATGAATAGCATAGTTAATTCCAGAAAGATAAATCAATATACTAGATCCTTTTTAACACCTGCGTATCTGTAGAGTCTAACTTGGTCTTTTGGCAAGTTATGCATTGGTGGTTGAACTTGCTGTATTGCTTTATTCTTTTTGCTGTTCTCCTCTCTTGACCAGATGCAAGGCCAGGTGAATAGCAAGTTAGGTAATCACTTTAGGTTCCAAGACTTGTAACAAGTCGCCAGGTGAGCCACAAATCTTAGCCAATGTTCCATGCACAGAGCCAGCTATTAAGGCTCCATTATACATTATTTAGCTCATCTGAACTACGTAAAAATCATTCAGTTTGGTTAGTTCCCTTGAACTGAGGACATTTAAAATGACTTAAAGTAGCATACAATACCTTGAATGTTCAAATTTGGTACGCGAGTTAAGCCACAGTTTTTCCCATCTGCATGGTATGGCGGAACACATGGGGCCAAAGAAATCTGGTCCCAAGTCCAAATGGCAACTCAGAAGATAGTTGGAAAGTCCAAGAAATTCTCAACAAGGTCAAGAACCATTTTCATGGGATCCCACAGTACTTTCTTACTGTTTGCTACTATGGTAATTATTGGGGACATATAATTAGACATGTTCTTAAATCAGTACTGAAATTTTCAGGACAAAATCAAAAGTATTTTTGCTTGGCTTTGGTGATTCGAGGGGTTGTCATTGTTTAGTTTCTGGACACTTGGCCAGAGGTACTAACTCCCAGATATTCAAAGTCTGTCCCCAGGATCTAGCCTTCTCTTGACACCTGGTCCTTCCTGCCCAGCGTACAGGCTACCTCTGTGTGTACATCTCTCTGCATACTCTCAGAGCTGTGCTGTTGTTCTTGGTACTTTTCTTTATGTTGATGCTAGCTAGCATAAATAGATTTAGATGGGGGAATTTTTTAAATTCAGCTACTTATGATATTCTTCCCTTTCTTTTTAAAAGTGAGTTGTTTCAAAATAACTTTCTGAGTCAAATAGAATGTCTAGTTTTAGTTTTCTGAGGAATCCGCACACTGATTTCCACAGTGGTTCTACTAGTTTACATTTCTCGAGCAATGTAGAAAGGTTTGTTTTTCCCAGTAGCTTCACCAGCATTTGTTATTATTTGTTTTTGTTTTTCGTTTTTTGTTTTGTTTTGTTTTGTTTTTTTGGTACCGAGGATCGAACTTGGGATCATGTACTTAGAGAGCAGGTGGCAGCACCACTGAGCTAAATACCCAACCCTATTATTTGATTTCTTGATGATGGCCATTCTTTATGAGGTAAGATGGAATCTCAGTATGGTTTTAATTTGCATTTCTCTAATGGCCAGAGATGTTGAACATTTCTTCATGTGTTTATTGGCTGTTTGTGCTTCTGGGAAGTGCCTGCTCATTTCACTTGCTTATTGCTTGAAAAAGTGATGTGAGGCTTACTAGAGGGCAGATAGAAGACACTCAAGAGCAGGGTGCAGGTGCTCAGAGACATAAAACACTTGCCCAATTTTTAATTGGGTCTTTTATTTGGGGGACCTAATTTTTTTAGTACTTTATATATTCTAGGTATTAATCTTCTGGGGAATAGCTGGCAAATATTTTTCCCCATTCTGTAGTTTGTCGTCTCACTTTGTTGGTAATTTCTGTTGTGATGCACACACTTCAATATTATCTTGTGTGTTGGTTTTTGGTGCTGTATCCTGTGCAACTGGAGTTCTAGTCAGAAAGTTCCTCCCTACACCTATAACTTTAAGAATTTTATCTTCTAACAGATTAAATGTTTCTGTTTGAACATTTAGTCCTCTGATCCATTTTTATTTTAGGTTAGTGCATGGTGAGAGACACAGGTATGGATTCAGTTTTCTGCATGTGGATAGCCAGTTTTCCCAGCAGCATTCATTAAGGAGGTTATCTTTCCTCAAGTATGTATTTTTTTTACCCCTTTGTCAAAGATCAAATAATTAAGGGCTGGGGATTTAGCTCAGTGGTACCACTGCCTGCCTCTCAAGCACAAGGTCCCGAGTTTGATCCCCGGTACCAAAAAAAAAAAAAAAAAAAAAA